TATTCAGTGCTAAATTTCCAATATTCAGTGCTAATTTTTTTCCAACGCCCTTGCAGGCGAGCATTTGGCCTTTCTGGCCGTAGTAATAGCTCCAGAAACTGTCTTGAACAGCCAAAGGTCATAGTAAATTGTAATAACTCAAAATTTGTTCCACAGTCACTTATTGTACCGAACACCTTTTTCATGAATGCAATTTTTGAGCTTGATCGATTTTCTTTCCCAGAAAACTTAGTCTCACAAAATGCGACAGTGGGGTACAAATTTGGCCAAAAGGGCACATTGTTTTCCTACGTTTTAGGTAAAATCATACACATTAAACTTCCCTCCTGATGACAATCCTGAATCTTGCATTTCCACGTACATGTTGTAGCTGGATTCTTCATCATTCATTAGATAGTTGTAAGCAGCGAGGCATCTTTCTCCAGCTTTTATATCTGTTATTGCATCGATTTTCTCTAAAACGCTCTGTGTTGACCATGTCAGTCTTTTGACGTTAACCATTTTGTTGGCAAACATTATTGCCTAGATGTACTGTGAATGGACGCAATGCAATAATGTCATTGTGAGAGAGCTGTTTTAGAACATCCGGTATAAAATTAATTGTGGGATTCATATATGTATCACATGTACAATTACAAGATTTCACTGGTTTAAGTGTAGCATGCTTAAAATAATTCGGCAGTAAAGTTTGGTAACCCAATACCGCACATTTGTCACAAAACGACCAGGAGAGATGTCAACCTCATACCCAGGGAATTCTATGTCCACGGGGCGCGGAACTACGCGACGAAGACCATGGTTGAAGCGGATGACGTAGCTCCCAGATTCTGGGAGGTAAATTTAAAATATGCTGTGGGAGGGGTGGTAGCGTTGTTTATGTAGAGTTTAGAAAATTTCCTATGGATTTTGGAAATCGAAATATGACTTATTCTATATTTTTTCCAACAAAGGTGATAGATTATTCTTACTTTCATTAATTTCTCATCACTTCCGACAAAAAGGAGGTCGAATTACGCTAAAAGATGCCGCCTGCAGCGCGGTATCGAATTTCGGACACTAGACTGTTTATATTTCACCTTGCGACGATGGCTAGCAAAGGCACGCCGAAAAAACTTCATACAAAACGACCAGAAACGACGCTTATTACTCGCTGCAGACATTGTAATTCTGTTGGGGATCCAAATCACGGGAAAAATCTGTATCGGGAATCAAATCAGGCGATCTTACGCACAGCTGAGATGGTTTATGGTGGTGAGTTGAAAAAAGATAGCAACCTTCCTCATTTGATCTGTCTGCCATGCGAAAGAAGACTAAATAATTTCAGCCAATTCAAGAGCGTTGTTACGGAGACTCAGCCATTGTTGCAAGGCGAAGTTCGTTCTAAACGTTGCGGGGAGTTGTCGCCTTCTGTAGAGAAACCATTGACGAAAGTTCATGTGGGTGGCAGTTCTCATCGCAGCATAGACTTTAGTGAGGATGACGCTCCGACTGCTCCGAGTGTATCTGCTTCTCCCCATGTAAGTAACCAACTCTCATGATTTATATTAAAACAGTTCACAATTCTTGTATATGTATTTTGGAATAATTTGCGCTGTTAATCATCTAATCTTAGTATTATAATCTATCATGCATATGTAAAATAGTAAGCCTTTGTCGCTTTTACTGTAACTCAAACCTCTCATTTATATGCGATAATAATTTTAGGTCTTTAACTCCTTGTGTATGTGTAAAATGTTTTTAAATTTGTAACTTTGCGATTAACTTTTTAAAAATCTGGAAATAATTTCTTGCTTAAATTGCCATTGTGCTGTATTAAATTTAGGGTGGTCCATTGCTTGTTGACACATCACCAGTCATCACCCAGGCTAACAAGGAACTCATTAGTGTGGTCAGAAGGAGTGATTCTTCAGTTCTGAGGCACCGAAATTATGATGGGTTGTCAGGTGAAGGATGGATGGCTGAAGTGATGGGAGAGTTGGAAACCAGGTGTCCAGTGGTCAACAGCATCCTGTGTAGTCTGTTGGAGAGCACACTGTACCCAGAAAAAAAGAAACCTGCCATCTGCTTGATTTATGGCATCTTGTCATTTTTGCGATGTCATGAATTGAGCAGAATTCAACGAATAAACTCAGTGCTGCAGGTACAAGGCCAAGCATCTGTAAATGTAAGTCAATTAATTATTTTGCAGTTGAATTTTATGCATAGATTCTATGCAGCAATAGCAGCAATACTATTGCACATATAAATACATTATAATAGGGTTTCTATCACTAAAATGTTTATTGATAAAGCAATGAACATTCAACAGTAGCTTCATCCCCATTTCTGAACTTTTTTTCAAAACATTTTAAAAAATGGGTCATTTATGACATTTGAGAGTACCCATGAGAATGTCCATTAAGGATATTGTAATTAATTTTCAAGCATTTTCAACACTTCACTTAATCTCATATTTTATATTGCAGTTGATTTCTGAGTTGAATAAATATGGCATATGCCTTGAGCCTACAAGCAAGTATCATATCCTTGATGACATTGGTAACCACTTTCTGGATCGAGCTGTTGAACTTGTGAAAGCAGGCCATAGGTGTGTCTATGTTCTCAATAATATCGACTGGGAAGAGAAAGCGCATGACATGAGGCAGAACATTCAAAACAAGAGTGTGCATGCAGTTGCAACCAGCATTGTGTTCAACCGAGTTAGAGAGGAAGACTTATCTGATGCTGGCCCGCAACTAGACCTGAAACAGTGCGATGTGTTTGAACTTGTTCAAGTGAATGATGCTGAGTTGAAAGCTATCCATAGTCGCTACAAAATTATAATTGCACAGCTTATGTTTAGCCATTTCCCAGCTTTTGATTCTTTCAAGAAATATTTTCCTGCGACAACAGATTGTGTTTACAAGATAGAAATGAAGAATAAGTCTGAGATTGTGACAATGCCAGTTCTCATGAAGGATGAGAAAAAGTACTCAGATGTTGTTGATGTTTTGGATCAATTGGAAAAGTGGACATTTATGTGGATATTTATAAAGCTGCTGGCCTATGCTCAGGGGTCACTGCTGATGTTGATGACACCCCACCTCAAGTATCAACTAGATCTAGACCAGATCAGCCAGCTTCACATGTGCCACCAACCCGTTCCGAGAATGATCCATTATGTTGTAAAAATCCCGTGTTATGGTGATCAGTTAACAATAATTCGGTTTGCTGGTGCCAAAGATTTGCGTGCAGGCTGTCACTCCTCAAGCCAGCGATTTGACCATCTCTATCCCTTTTGTATTGTGGATTGGCACACCAAATAAAGATACTTGAAGGTAAAGTATTAAATGACTCATAAAAAAATAATAGATAATAGATATTGTTTTATTTTTTTGATTCTTAGTCAAATTACAGATGATTAAGGGATTAAAGATGTTTGTTGATTTCCTCCTGCAATGAAAGTGGATTATGAGTCCTATTTGTTTTTGTCTTAATCATATACTAATGGTTAATCATTGTCTAAAAGCTTAGATGAATGGAAGTACTCAAACTTTATGCTATGTGATTTTTTTTGTTTAGACTGCTTATAAGAAACTGTACAAAAATTCAGGAAGAGAGAAAGGCACGCTCAGGTTTTTCACAGAGAAGCTTAACAGAAGAAATGTAACAGTTGATGTTAAACACTATGAGGACTGTGAGCAGCTGTTTGTCAGTGTTGGTAAATGCTTTGTCATTGAGGCTCTTTTGGAATTTTTCCAAATGAACGATGCAAAGTGCAAACCAAGTGCAAAAGGTCCTCATAGTGTTGCTGAGGACTATTGTAAAAGTTACATTGATGATACTCTGAATAAGTTTCTTGACCAATATGTGTGCCATGGTGAAAGTGAAGATGATTTTCAAAGTGAAGATGAGAAACTCATAAAGTCAATGGGGGCCAATAAGACTGAGAAGGCTATTGGCTGGGCTAGCAAGGCATCAGGAGGAGTGTCCAAAGTTGTTAAAACTTTTGAAAGTCAAGTGAAGATGCCTCGAAGATCCTCAACGCACACACACAAGTCGTCAGTCACAGATGAAAGTCTAATTAGCCAAGACTTGCGGGCATTACAACCATTTAGCCATGAGGAAGGCAGCCATTTTGAATCATTCATCGACATTCATCCTGACCCAACCCATCCATTGGACAATGAGAAATTCAAAGAATGGATTGAAAAACACAAAAAGAATATTTTGTTGCATTATCCATCTTCAGATGAAAATGAATAATGAGTGAGTAAAATCTAATTCTATATAGATCAAAACAAAAAAATATTGTGTACAATGTACATTAATTGTGTTGTTTGTTTGAAAAACAACTAATTCCTAATAAAAATTTGATTTAGTTTTGTACAGAAAAAAAAGATTCGAAAGTCTTGTGAAACAAATGCCAGTTTTTTGTTTTAATGTATTTTATTATACATTTTATAGGAGTACCAAGTCATGGTGTGTAATAGTTTAAGAGAACTGATTTTTATATATTCAGTTAGTAATAGAATAATTTACTATATTAGAACAGTTTATAAATACAGTGTGCTACACAGTGAAGTATTTGCATATGCAATGATATCTCAAAATTTGATGTTAAAACTGCATTTTGATTAAAAAAAATCTTAGCTAGCCAAGGAATTTAGGAAATACAAAAAGGAATAAATTCTAAAAAAAAGGAGTGGTATCCCGCTCAATTTCTTTGTAATGTTGGTAAAAATTTATAGTTTTGTGACTATCACCTTATTTTTTAGAATTTGTTTCTTTTTGTATTTCTATAATTGTTGGCTAGTTATTGTCTTGTTACTGTTACAATCCAGTTTTCCATCTAATTGCTAAACGATTCAATTCTAATAGTGAATAAACCTTTAGGCACATTAATGACTAAAAGTATTTATTGATATGTAATTTTGTAATACTTGTTACAAATATTAAAAATACAATATGGTTTGAAAATACTCTTTGTGTTTTATTAGTTCAGTTTGACAATGTCAATGCTAGGAAGTTTGAAGATCAAAACACATTGAGCATTTGCAGTGTGCCTGACACACACTACAACAACTATGTAATGGATCAACAACAATCTCCTGTGTATAGTCAAAACACTGCAAAAGCAATCTCCTCAAGCAAGTGTCATTGCTATTACATAAGTTGCGCATATCATCCTGCATACCAACTCGATTCTTTCCAATGTCTCTATTGTTGTAGTAGAGTGTGGCTAAGGAAGGTTTGCCATCCCTGCCAGCTCGTCCTGTCTCCTGAAAATATGCTTTAACTGAGCATGGTGGACTCACATGTATCATATGACGAATGTCAGGAATATCTACACCCATGCCAATAGCCACTGTTGCAAAAACAACCCGAACTTTGCACTGTCTTAAGCAAAGCTGCTTCAAAATTTCATCTTTCATCTGGCTTGTTTGTGCAGCATGAAATTGAGCAAACATTCTGTTAATGGGAATATGAGCAGAACCAGGTGGGAAATATCGTTTATCACCAAAGACATGTTCAAATATTTTGTATGCAAACCCACATAGCTTTAATGGTACATATATCATGGTGAGTGGGTAATCAATCTTTTTCTCTAAGAGGTCTGTTGCAATTGGCATCAGTATTGACTTTATTGATTCAACATCATCACCATGTCGAAAAAATTTTTGGTATGTAATGTTTTTCTTATTAGGGTTTCCAACAACAAGCCTACACTTCTTTAATCCAAGGGAGTCTTTAATATGCTTGTAAATGACAAGATGGCGGATAGACACGAAAATTTGAGCTGCGATATCCATCGGAATGAGCCAGCCTCTACTTCTCCTCGTGGTGAATTTTCTCCACCTATTCAGGTTTCCCGTCGTAAAAGTGATATATCTCTAGTTGAAGATAATCTTAAACTAGCATGAATGGGCGATTACTCGTCTCTTAAAATAACCGTCTCTGAATTTCTAAAGCTTGACGGCTAATGGACCTCACCAGGAGGTGAAAGGAAGGTCTTTTTCTGTGATGGTTCGCCACTTTTAACTTGGTTTAGCAAGAAGAAAGTTATGCAATTCAACAACGAGTATGGAATGTCTATAAAACAGAATTTGCTTGGGATACTAGTCGATTGACCTGAAACCGAAGCCGAAGGAAAGAACTATACCTCTGAGTGTCGTTGTAGAGAAGTGTCGTTTGATTTAGAAGGTTTTAAATTGGACATTACAATCGTTGAGTCTGAACAAGGGAAAGCTATAAGTAAAAATTCAAGCCAAATTGATCAAATTTGGTCCGCTGTTGATAAAATGCAAAGTGAAATACACGGGATTAATAACTCGATGCATAACTTAGTCAACTCAAACCAAGTGTCTAATGTAAACAAGTTTGATTCCACATCGTTGAGGGATGAGAATGAAATTCTTTTGAACACAGTAGAAGTTTTAAAGGCGGATCTGGTCAGACTCAAAGCTGAAAACAAGAAATATAGGAAATTAATCAATACCCAAGGATCAACGAATGCAGATCCGGTCCTTGCTGTGACAACAGATGCAAATTCTGTGCTAGTAAATGCAAATATCCCGTCTGCGGGGGTGTCAGATACCAACGAACAATTAGATATTCTGGAGGAATCGACAAACGTTGGTATTGAAGATCAATCGTATCAGCTAAAACACCAACCTATGTCTTTTAAAGATCAATCAGAAGCTTACCGTCAGAAACACCGATTGACTCATCAAAGCCTTCGCTCTCAGTCCAGTCAAGAGAATAAAAGTGCCCATGTGCCATCTGGAAAAACTATGGCACCTGGAAAAACTACGTCTGTGTGGGAGTCAGATACCAACGAACAACTAGAAATTTCTGAGAAATCGACAAGCGTTGGTTTTGAAGATCAACTAAAATCGTATCAAGTAAAACACCAACCTATGTCTTTTAGCGACCAATCAAAAGCTTACCGTCAGAAACACCGATTGACTCATCAAAGCCTTCGCCCTCAGTCCAGTGAAGAGGGTAAGAGTACCCATGTGCCACCTCGAAAAGCTACGTCATTTGAAGTCCAATCAGAATTATATCGACAAAAACATCAATATTTCCGCTTTCATTCAACTCGAAAGAACCCCAGGAAAGGTACACAAAGGGGAAAAACCCGACCGCAAGTAAACCCTATGAAAAGTGCGCCTGAGAGAAGAATATACCAACTAATTCCTCCTTTTCGCCAAGTACGGAGGGGCAGTCTACCCGCCATACGTCCCCACCGTCGGAAAGATTGGCTAGACTACCTGGACTATGTCGGCAATATAATGAATCAGCATTAGAGACTTGGTCATTTGATAACTTTGAAATACCGACACCAAATAAAACTAGATGTGATGTAAACATTCCCGTACACATCACAGACCGTTCTAGAATGCCTTCCTATCGGAATAGCAAGCGTAGACCAAAACAAAGAGGGAGTGACAGAAATAATTTAATATCAGTATCGCTGAAATCTGATGCTGATTTTGTGACGCATATTAACAATATTAATAGGACAATTAATATTAACAATAACCTACTTTCCAAGTCTTTCCAAAAGTCGAAAATTAAGATTGCCCACTTAAATATAAGATCGTTAAAGAAACGGGTCCATCTGCTACAACTACGTTGTTTAGTCAAAGAAAATGACTATGATGTTTTTGCAGTATCGGAAAGTTGGTTAAAATCCACGGTGTCAAATGCTGAAGTGGAAATCGAAGGGAATAAATTATCAAGGTTGGATAGAACAACGAGATCAGGAGGAGGTGTTTGCATTTATACTCGAACTTCTTTGAAAGTTAAAATCCTTAAGGAGCTCACTAGGATATCACCGTTTGGCTTTCACCAATTGTGGGTACAGATCCAGCACAAGAAACTAAAGTCAGTCATATTCTGTATCGTTTATCGTCCTCCCGACTGCTCTGTGGCATGTTTTGCGGATGAATTTTTAGAGAAACATACCCTAGCCCTTACTTACGGGAAAGAAGTGTTTATAATTGGCGATCTCAATATTGATATCTTAAAAGAGAATCAAGAGTCGCGAGTGCTTATGAATTTGTGCTCTAGTTTAAATTTAACACAACTAATTACTAGTCCAACCAGAGTTACGCCACAATCATCAACTCTAATTGATGTAATTATGACAACTAATACGACTATTGTTGCCGAAAGTGGAGTTATGGAGAATCATATAAGCGACCATTACTTGATCTACATTGTGTTAAAATTGAAACTATCAAAACCTCAACCAACTCTTGTTAATGCCAGAAGTTATAAACATTACGATCGAGGCAGATTTTTGGAAGATGTAGCGAAAGAGCAATGGGAGAATATTTCCCTGATTGATGATGTGGATGGACAATTGAATTATTTTAACTGTAATTTTCTCAGAGTGTTAGATGGACACGCTCCCGTTAAGACAATGAAGGTTAGATATCGCCAATCTCCGTTTGTGAATGACAAAATAAAAGAATTGATGAAAAAAAGGGATAGGTTGCACGGAATAGCACGTCAGACCAAACGTATCTGTGACTGGAACAGCTTTCGCGCTGCTCGTAACGAAGTAAAGGAAGTATTGCGAGAGGCCGAAAAAAGATATGTCCAAAATGAGATCTTTAAAAATAAAGAACCGAATGCGATGTGGAAGGTTATTAGAAGTTGCATTCCTCGTAAAGAACTATCCCATCCTGTATATACCAGAGATATGAAAGAGTTGGCTGATGAATTTAATATATTCTAAACATCAGTTGGTTTGAAAGCCGCAGAGCAGTCGAAGAAGATAGCCATTGCAAATGATCTTCCGTTAGTGCAACCTAACGCTGGACATGTATTGAACAACACTAGCGAGTTCTATTTCCGCCCTGTGTCATTTTGCGAAATACGTAAGATCATATATTCATTTCCATCAAATAAGGCACCGGGTATGGACAAAGTGTCGGTGTCTGTTATCAAGGACGCTTTGCCTGTAATCCTTCCTACCTTAACCGAGATTGTTAATCGATCATTATTAACCGCGGTGTTCCCATTAGCTTGGAAAAAGTCGGAGGTCATTCCAATTTTAAAGGAGGGGGATTATGAAATAGCAAATGATAACCGTCCCGTTTCCCTGCTTCCTGTGGCCTCTAAGATCTGCGAGCGGGTGGCGCTCAACCAATTGATGGAATATATGTCTCAGAAAGGGTGTCTCACCGAACATCAGAACGGAAATAAGAAGCTGCATTCAACAGAGACACTTAATATACTCGTTTCGGATATGATTCTTGAGGCTATAGACAGGAAAGAATTATCTGCTGTTGTATTATTAGACTTGTCCAAGGCCTTTGATAGTATTGAACATACATTGCTACTTAAGAAATTGCATGCGATGGGTGTGTCTAGGAAAGCTGTCGATTGGTTTAAAAGTTACCTCTCAGACAGATCTCAATCCGTGAGAATTGGTCATATTCTTTCAGAACCCCGTACGATGATAACACATGGTGTGCCTCAAGGATCAATACTTGGCCCTGCGTTGTTTAGCATTTATATTAACGACCTTCCAACTACTCCAGCTGTTTGTCCTTTGGAATCGTATGTGGATGATTCGAAAATTTATTTGTCATTCTTATACAAGGACATAAATGCTGCCAAGAGTCAGCTAACAGAGGATCTGAGGAGAGTTGCTGCTTGGTGTTGCTCAAATAGCTTACTTGTCAATCCTGAAAAGACTAAGCTTCTTTTGTTTGGTACACCACAAATGCTCAACCAAGTACAAGATTTTCGAGTGACTTTTCTTGGACAAGTACTACATCCGGTGTCTTCAGCTCGAGACTTAGGAGTGGAGTTCGACAAATGTTTGAGTTATGATGAGCACATTACGGAAGTGGTTTCAAAATGTACAAAGTCACTTTGTCAGATCAACCGAGTTAAACATATTCTGGACAGCCGCACAATGATGGTGACCATAAATGCTTTAGTTTTCAGTAAACTTTATTACTGCTCGTCTGTTTGGGCAAATACGTCCAAAAAAATATGCCAAATTACAGTCTGTGCAGAATTTTGCTGCACGAATTGTTAGTGGTGCGAGAAAGTACAATCATATCACACCCGTTCTACAACAACTGAATTGGCTACCTGTTTCTTACATGCTACAGTACAGAGATGCTGTTATGACATTTAGGTGTCTCAAAGGGTTGGCTCCACCATATCTTGCAAGAAGATTCACTTCTAGATCCCAGACGCACGACCGGGTCACTCGACAAATGGACGAGTTGGATATACCATTTTATCGGACAGCTGCGGGCCAGCGCTCGTTTCTATATAGATCTACCAAACTATGGAATGCTTTAGACAATAACATCAAGAATACTCTAAGTATTAAAGTTTTTAAAAAATTAGTTAGAGGGACGCTACTCAAAGTTTTTCAGAACTCATCTTAGCAATAAATAGTTTTAACTTTTCATATGTAAATATAGATTACTTAATTAGTTATTTTCATTCTTTGTGTAAATATTTCTGAAAAGCCATAATGGAGAAATGTATCATTTATATTATTATTATTATTATTATTATTATTATTATATTATTATTATTATTATTATTATATATTATTATTATTATTATATTATTATTATTATTATTATTATTATTATATTATTATTATTATTATTATTATTATTATATATTATATTATTATATATATTATTATTATATTATTATTATTATTTTATTATTATTATTATATTATTATTATTATTATATTATTATATATTATATATTATTATTATATTATTATTACATCGAGCAGTAGCGGCAGGTCGCATGCTGTACATGTCTTACGTTTAATCAAAATTTCTTACTTGAATTACAACCAAACATTTTATATTTTTGAGCTATTGATCATGATTCGTTCGGGAATCATTTGTTTGTTAATATCCTGTATAATCTGTTCATTTTGTGGAAAAGATTTTGTAAGTATTGGTCGACATCAATGGCGCTGTAGACAAAAGGTTCATGATGATACTCATTACGAAACAACGATACCTAATAGAATACCTGTGGAACCTATTATCAACTCGCCAGGCGTAGTAATTACTAAAAAGAGTGGTGTGAAATGCTGTTGTGGAAAAGTTTGTAAAGGTGCTCGAGGTCTTAAGATGCATCAACGTAGTTGTAGAGTCATCCATGGCCTAAACGACGAACTAATTGCAAATCTTAAAGACCAAGAAGAGGGTACTGACATCCAGTTGGAAAATACAAACGATGTTCGAGACGACCCTGAAGTTATAAACGAGAATGGCGATGAGTATCCAACATTAAAAAAGGGTATCAATCTACCTAAAACTGATTCAGAATGGCTAACGGCAAACGAACATTTCAAATTATCTTTAATCTTGAATCAACCAATCAGAACTCTCGATTTGAATACATCAATAACCGCATTAAATGAAACTATTTATAAATATTTCGCCGAAAATTTTGGCTATGTGGATAGCCTACCTCAGGATTCAACTAAAGATAAGTATAAAAATCATAACGTGAAGGACCTAAAGAAATGTTTGAAATCCCTAAAATCATCGGCAAATTCTGACCCTGTAGAAATAAAATACGTGTCTCGGCTTCTTCGAAACAAATTGAAAAATAATCGGAATAATGAATATAATAGTAATATCGACGAATCGTTCAACCACGATAAATTCATGGAGCGAGCGTAATCTTTGGGGATACGTGAAGAAAGTCCTTAACCAAACCAGTTTAGTTCTCCCAGACTTTGATATGTCACAATGCATCTCGTATTTCAAAACAACCTTAGCTAAAGTCAACCAAAATAAAATATTTCAAATACCCAGCTGGATTCCAATCTTACCTAATCCAAATGTTGAATTTGACCTCGACCCCCCAACGTATCAACAAATCACAAATATCATTCGAAAGATGAAAACATCCGGCTCCCCGTGTCCTCTTGACCAGCTTTCAATCATTTGTTTCAAACGATGCCCTTACTTGAGGACATATTTGACAAATTTAATTCAATCCGTGTGGCTCTCTGGAACTATTCCTGAAGTGTGGAAGAAAGCCTGCACAATATTAATCCATAAGAAAAATGACGCTAAATCTCCAGCAAATTTCCGTCCAATAACACTACAGTCAGTACCGCTAAAAGTATTCACTTCATGCCTTCGAAACGCGATGTTCTCATTCCTATTAGCAAACAATTTTATTGAACACAATATTCAGAAAGGATTTACACCACATATATCGGGAACTTTTGAACATACTGCTCAAATGGCGTATATAAACCAAGCAAGAAGCAAACAACGATCAATTGTGATAACCCTTCTTGACCTTAAGAATGCTTTTGGTGAAGTAAATCATAATCTAATCGAATCCGTACTTGGCTATCATCACATACCCGCTCATATCAAAACACTGATTAAAAGCTTATATACCAATTTTAAAACATCAATTATCACATCCAATTTCAACACCCCTTTCATTTATGTTGGTCGTGGAGTTTTGCAAGGAGATTGCCTTAGTCCTTTATTATTCAACCTTTGTTTTAACACTTTCGTTCAACACATAAAGTCAGACAAGTATCGTCAATTCGGTTTTTCCTATAAACTTTTAAGCCCAGTTCATTGGTTCCAATTCGCAGACGACGCCGCCGTAATTACAACTCAAGAGGCTGAAAATCAACACCTCCTAAACCGTTTCGCAATTTGGTGTCAATGGTCTGACATGATTGTCCGCGTTGACAAATGCAGCACATTTGGAATAAAAAAAATCCTCACTAAATCTGTCCAATATCTACCAAAGTTAATTATCAATAACAGTCTTATACCAACTATTGAACTCGGAAAATCTTTTTGCTATTTAGGAAGATACTTCGACTTCGAAATGTCTAATAGTGAACATAAATTGGAACTCATATCTATTCTAACAAATCTAATGTCGGATATCGACCTGAAGCCATTGCATCCCAAAAACAAAGTTATCCTTTACATCCGGTATGTTTTATCCAAACTTTCTTGGCATTTAACGATTGCTAACCTCTCTAAGACTTGGATTACAGAAAACCTTGATCCTATCGTCAATGACCACATCCGTAAGTGGCTCGAAGTGCCCATCTCAGGAACATTGAGCAACGTGTATCTTACCCGTAATAAATTTGGCCTTAACATTATCACACCTTCAACGAAATTTGTCCAATGTCAGTCAACAATTCGTAATGCCTTAAAGTTGTCTCCAAATGAGTCTATATCACATATGTGGAAATCTACTAATAACCATACTAATCTGCAATACGATCAATACAACTCTACAAAGGAAGTCCTTAAAGCGTTTCATAAAGTGCAAGAAGATAAACTTAAGAATAAATCCTGTCAAGGATCATTCTTTTCCAGTATTTCAAAGTTCTCGTTATCTCAAGTAAATACCATCTGGTCAACTTGCCAATCAAAACTGCCCAAAAACATTTTTAATTTCACCATCCGCTACATAAATAACTCTTTACCGACCCGCAAGAACCTCGCGAAATGGGGAATATCGTCATCTTCTGATTGTTCTTTTTGCCTCCATCCGGAGACCTTGCTTCATGTAGTCGCTGGCTGCAACTCATACCTGGATCGATTCACGTGGAGACACGACTCGATTCTAAATTTCATTGCCAATAATCTGCCATCAGATCATTTTCAAGATATATTTGCCGATATACCCGGATTTTCTAACCCCTCAATAATAACTGGTGACAAGTATCGTCCTGATTTGCTCATTACAACAGAGGCCAAGCAGCTATATATACTAAACTAACCGTCGGATATGAAACTAACCTCAGAAATAACATAAGTCGCAAACACGCAAAATATAAAGAACTTATTAAAGAGCAAGAGAAGCACTTCAAATCTGTTAAATTTATTAATCTATCAATCAGTGCTCTTGGTGTTTTGACAAAGAATCGTCCTCTTTCATAGACATGCTCGAAGATATAAATGTAAATAAACAACATATTAAATACTTAATTCGAAAGATTATAAATGTAGCCATACGATCAACTTATTATATTTTCTGTGTTAGAAACAAAGAATGGTCTAGTCCTGATTTGATGAAAATCTGAATTGTAAAATATATTGTGTAATGTGAAATCTAGTTTAGCCCTTTGTAAAATATGTAACCTCAAGTAGCCAATTGTAAGTTACCTTTTAAGCGAGATTTGCAATTGTATTTCTTAAAAAATTGAATAAAAGTTTTCATTATTATTATTATTATTATTATTATTATTATTATTATTATTATTATTATTATTATTATTATTATTTTATTATTATTATTATTATTATTATTATTATTATTATTATTATTATTATTATTATTATTATTATTATTATTATTATTATTATTATTATTATTATTATTATTATTATTATTAAATATCTTGCATGTCTGCCCGACTGGCTGTTGCTGTCATAGCAAGGACAGGAACATCAGGAAACAAAGCACATAGTGCACCTAACTTGCCATAATCTTTTCTGAAGTCACTTCCCCTATAAAACAATATTTAAACAAAATGTGAGTGATGATAGAGATGAATATTTTTTAATTAAGTTGCTTTTACTGGTTTTGTTAATGTTTTGAAAAACAGTGGCAATATTTTAACTGGTTGTAGTCATTATCATTGACTATCAAAATAGCTGATTGAATTTATACAAGAAGTTGCTAAATCCCAAAAACTTTGTGATGATGTGTGAGGGTGAATATATTCATTATTTATACAATTATAATACAAATTAAATTCAATACTTACCAGTCTAGTATACAATGCGCTTCGTGAATGACAATCGCAACCACATTATCAGTGTATTTTTCGCTCATCAATGAATCACGTCCGTGTTTACATGAGATAAATGACTCTCGATGAGCGAAAACAATGTGGTAATAACCATCACGAAACTTTTGCTCTTCGCAAAGCCAGAAATCAATGTTCACATCATCTTCTTCGATTTTGGTTTCATCCTGTGTAGTCTTCACAGGTTTGATATTTACAACCGATGCTCGAATACCGCTCAAGCCAAGACGAGATATTTGATCACTCATTAATGAATTTAGTGGAGACACAACAATGACGATAGAATCAACTGATGCCGTACAAATACCCTTCGATCTCCATAAAAGAAGCAAATCGCCACGTAACTTGAACCTTGCGAGCAACAACATCGGCAGGAGATGACCTGTTGGCAAAACGCACATTACATCAATTTTAAGATACATGTTCTCAAGGCAGAGAACCTGTTTCGGCTTCAAAATAGTTTCTTGGTACAAACTATTTAGAACCGCAAATTCTAAGCAAGACAAAAACGCAATATAATCCAACATGGCGAAACCTGGAATAAAGAGTGGTGAAAGTGGAAACATGTAATATGATATTTTCCCTGTACCCCCTCAGGCAAAATGTGAAGTCATCAGCTTCAACCAAGGTCTTCGTCGCGTAGTTCCGCGCCCCGTGAACACAGAAGACCCTGGGTACGAGGTTGGAGAGATGTTCGATACGAAAGCGAAGGTTGTTGCTAATAACGGTGGCCTGCAAAGGTTGAGAGTTTCCTGCCTGAAGAAAATTTTTGTACTCTGTGGCAAATTTTTCCTTTTCCGCTATTTGAGATTCCTCTCGCTGGTTGCGTTGTTTGTATGTCTCCTCTAACCTAGCTTCGAGATTATCATAAAGCAGAAGAAAGCTGTCTCTCATCCCAAAAGGAATTCGACAACTCTTCATTCCACTTTGCGATTATATGGAAACGAGTATATAGATAAATGCAAAGGAATCAGTTGCATGAAAATTTCGAAGAAAATAATTTCTATTGCAATAAAAGCCTTTATCATTAGAATTACAGACGATTACAAATGCATTTTAGAAGAATTGCATTTGAAAATACCAAAATGGACAGCGGCGGCTAGGAAAACAACCCTTTCATAAGAGTGGAATTTACAAATTGGATATGCACTCGGAATAGCTTAACGCCTCTTGGAATAATGAAAAATATAGCTAAAAACCTTTATTACATCAAGAAAACACTTTAAAGAATATTATAATAGCTATTCCACTGAAAAAAAATTTTAAAAAATTGAAAAAACGGAAAATGTTATGGAAACATAAAAGGACAGAAAAGTGCTTGAAAACAAGAAGTAAAAAAAGCTTGAAAACAAGCAAATTTCATGCAAATACAAGGATAATAATGTCAAAATCGGAAACTAGACTTTCAAATGAACCCGAAATGTAGTTTTCCCAAAGAAATTTCAGTGAAAAATGTCCTAAATATTGCGAATTGCACATGAACTAAAAACAACAAAATTGTGCTCGAAAACACGAAGTAAAAAAAGCTTAAAAGCAAGCTAATTTCACGCAAATACAAGGAAAATAATGTCAAAAACGGAAAGTAGAGCTTTAAATGTACCTGAAACGTTGTTTTCCCACTAGAATTTTGTCAAAAAAATGTCCAAAATATAGCAGATTACACACAACGACAAAAATTTCTCCAGCAAAAACACCCAATTTTTTTTTAAAACTGCGCATGCAGGCCTACTTAATTCCATCGCTCAGGAGTTTACTAAATTGCATCCCTCAAGAGTATAATATAACTAGAAATACATTGCATGCAAAGTCCCCTCGCCTGACGCAATAAACTTTAAACAATAAACAATATTTAAAGCTATAAACAATATTTCCATCACTGAAATTCTATGATACTCGTTTCTGCTAAATGATCGAAGTCGTAAAGTAAAATCCTATATCTTGGTAGAATTATAAAGTCGACTCTCGAGCTATCAAATTCGACTATAATATAATCATAATTGTGCTACGAATAGTTTTAAATACTACAATTCTTAGCGAAATTTCAATTACTTTTTAAACAAATTCACCTTTAAAAATAAATACTTTTCAAATCCAAATCATTTCAACGATATATTGACGAATAAATTCAAAGAGGGGTCATACATTTGTTGATAAATCCACATATTAAACTTACAAAACAATAGTTTACTTTATTTAATACCTTACAAAACAATAGTTTACCGAAATCTACCCATTTACCTGTTCAAAAACACTTTAAAAATGCTTCAAAATCGTAGATATTTCACCATCCATTAGAATTAAAATTTTTCTATCCAAAGGTATCTTTTACATTATATTTTAATCAATTTTACGAGTCAATTTTTCGTATATTTTTAAGACCATCCAAATGAAAAATATTATTTAAAAAAGGTTTATAATTCAAAATATCAGTTATGCTGACGTGACCCAAATTTTAATTTAGCCAATCGCACGTTTGTAAACGTTTGCTAGTTACCAGTTTTAACTCGTCTTATACTCACGCATGCGCATAACTTACAAAAACGCCCAACGTCCATGACATAATGGCGGACAATTTTCATTTCGCATTTGCATTCCCAGGCGTAATTAAAATCTCCGGGCGGAATTACTACCCTCGCCCGGTGCTTTGCACCGGCTCGGGGACAAATCATAGCATATCAGGCACAATAGTCGACATAAAGAGATGAAATTTCGCACAGTACCAATTTAGACAAACAGCTCCAATAAAAAAGAACATATTGCGTATGAAAGCACAGGACACCCAAGAAAGGGAAATTAATTTTTAAAATTCATTTTTTTACAGTGCTGAATCTTAATAATAGCCTTTTTTGTGCAGTAAGAATATTTTTTAATTTTCACTTGAGAGCCCATGCGCAACTTCCAAAATTCCATCGCTCAGGAGTAGAATCTAACAGAAGTAGCACAAATTATGTCAAAGGAACTACATTCTATGTGATACAAGACTAAAAATTCAACAGTCATAAAGTAAAATTGGTTTCTTTTTACATAATATGCCTTATATTGCGCATAGAAACACAGGGCGCCCAAATACATGCCCATGAGATAGATCAAAATACAACATCTTTGACATAAGGGAGGTACAGGTAGCAACGTCAGACCCAATCTCCCATAGAGGCATTTCTCTTTATGCTATCTATTACCAAGAAACTTAGCAAACAAGTTAACTTTCCACACATAACTACCCATCCAAAGTTTCAAGACAATTCGTTAAAAGCAACTGGGTGAACTAAAAAAGTTGTTTAATTTGATTGCGCAATAATGGTTCTTAACAAATTTCAATGTTCAAACCACTATATCTCCTAAGGTATTAACCGCGCGAGCAAACAGTTTTCAGAATCTGAAACAGCGTTAAACGTTGTATAAGATACGACTAAAAAACAGAGCAATATGCGAAACACTGTGTCCGGAAATTTACATTGAAATATCTAACACGGATTAGAATCTGCATGAAATAGCGACACTAAAACCGCTATATTTCAGAAAATACTCGTACCCCCCTGATTTTTTTTCAGATTCTGAAAGAGCATAAAAAGTTGTATAAGATAGGCCAAAAAAATCTGCACATCAAAATTGATAAAAAAGTTATAATATATATACATTAATGAGCATACTGGTCAAAGGTATATTAGTGCAAAACGTGCTTTACTGTAAATGTTAATTAAGTAAACCTTGGAGTGAATTAACCGAAGGTCTTGTGGTAATAACTGGCTTGTGGCAGCCAAGCGCTCATAGCAACGTTGCTTTTTGATTCTTCAATGTCGGCTCTTCCTATCATTGCGAAGCAGAATTCGCCAAGCGTTGGATTGTTCACCCGCCACTAAGGAACATGAGCTGGGTTTAGACCGTTGTGAGACAGGTTAGTTTTACCCTACTGTTGAATGGTTGTTGCAATAGTAATTCTGCTCAGTATGAGAGGAACCGCAGACACAATTGGCTCATGCACTTGCCTGAAAAGACAATGGTGCGAAGCTACCATCTGTTGGATTATGATTGAACGCCTCTAAATCAGAATCCGTGCTAGAACGCAACGATTCCTTTTCTCTGGACGACTTAAGCAAACACAAATAGAGACGCAATCCTTCGCGCCTCCTGCGTCACAACGTGCCCACAGAGCGGACCATGCTCCAAAGCACTACAACAATCAAAATCTAAATTTTCCAGAGCTAAATCATTTGCAGATGACTTAAATAAAGAACGGGGTATTGTAAGCAGAGGAGTAGCCTTGTTGCTACGATCTGCTGAGATTAAGCTCTTGTTCTACGATTTGTTTCTTTTTTTTTCCAACAATCGAACATTCTCAGCGAAGTCAAAGACGCGCTGCGTTCTCCGAAGTTTTGCTTTGAAGAGGCGCAAATGTTGTGCAGAATGTCCATTGGACAAGGTGAACACACAGAGCAAAAGCGCGAGTTTGGCCGTTCCGTTGGTTGTTGCCCAACCAACCGATCGGTCGTCTTGGCACGCACCATTCCCAGTGCAAACCTGCGGTTGCCCGCCCGTTTTGCGTTTTTGGACGAAAGAGCACGTTTAAAGACGTGGCAAAGAAACACACAGAATAAAGGTGCCCTGCCTAAAACCAACCTAACGCTCTGGAGGGCGTTCGTTCGCAAGGGTAGTTAACTGGTCGATCCTGCCAGTATCATATGCTTGTCTCAAAGATTAAGCCATGCATCTAAGTATAAGCACTTGTACTGTGAAACTGCGAATGGCTCATTAAATCAGTTATCATTTGATTGTACTCTTTTGCTACTGATAACCGTAGTAATTCTAGAGCTAATACATGCGAAAAGTCCGGACTCTCGCGGATAGCATGTATTTATTAGATTAAAAACCAATGCGGCTTTGCGGCCGCTAACCCACTTGGTGATTCATAATAACTGTTCGAATCGCATGGCCTTCTCTGTTTTTGCCGGCGATCTTTCATTCAAATTTCTGCCCTATCAACTGTCCATGGTGAGGTAGTGGCTTACCATGGTTGCATTGGGTGACAGAGAATTAGGGTTCAATTCCGGAGAGAGAGCCTGAGAAACAACTACCACATCCAAGGAAGGCAGCAGCCGCGCAAATTACCCAATCCTGACGTGGGGAGGTAGTGACAAAAAATAACAATACAGGGCTTTTTTGTAGTCTTGTAATTGAAATGAGTACAATTTAAATCTCTTAACGAGGACCAATTGCAGCCGCGGTAATTCCAGCTCCAATTGCCTATTGTAAAGTTGTTGCAGTTAAATAGCTCGTAGTGTGATTTCGGGCTTGGCGAGTTTTGTCCACTGACTTCAGTGAGGACTAATTTCGCCAGCCTTCCTCTCGCAGACTTCGCGTGCTCCTAACTGAGTGTGTGTTGGATATGTGACGTTTACTTTGAAAAAATTAAAGTGTTCAAAGCAGGCTTGTGCTTGGATACATAAACATGGAATAGTGGAATAGGACTTTGGTTCTGTTTTCCGTTGGTTTCTGGAACCAAAGTAATTATTAATTGGGACAGTTGGGGGCATTCATATTTCGTTGTCAGAGGTGAAATTCTTGGATTTACGAAAGACGAACTAATGTGAAAGCATTTGCAGGAATGTTTTCATTAATCAAGAACGAAAGTTAGAGGATCGAAGACAATCAGATACCGTCCTAGTTCTAACCATAAACGATGCCGACTAGGGATCAGCGAGTGTTATTTGATGACCTCTTTGGCACCTTATGGGAAACCAAAGTTTTTGGGTTCCGGGGGAAGTATGGTTGCAAAGCTGAAACTTAAAGGAATTGACGGAAGGGCACCACCAGGAGTGGAGCCTGCGGCTTAGTTTGACTCAACACGGGAAAACTCACCAGGTCCAGACATAGTAAGGATTAACAGATTGAGAGCTCTTTCTTGATTCTATGGGTGGTGGTGCATGGCCGTTTTTAGTTGGTGGAGTGATTTGTCTGGTTAATTCCGTTAATAAACGAGACCTTGCCTTGCTAAATAGTCAGACGATTCGCGAATCGCTCTCGACTTCTTAGAGGGACTGTTGCGTGTTTAACCAAAGTCAGGAAGGCAAGAACAGGTCTGTGATGCCCTTAGATGTCCTGGGCCGCACGCGCGCTACACTGACGATGGCAACAAGTCGCTCCTCCACCGAAAGGTGTGGGTAATCTTGTGAATCATCGTCGTGCTGGGGATAGATGATTGTAATTCTTGATCTTGAACGAGGAATTCCTAGTAAGCACGAGTCATCAGCTCGCGTTGATTACGTCTCTGCCCTTTGTACACTCCGCCCGTCGCTACTACTGATTGAATGGTTTAGTGCCTCCGGATTGGCACTGTGAGATGGGCTTAGACCCATCTGACGGACGGTCCAAAAAGTTGGTCAAACTTGATCATTTAGAGGAAGTAAAAGTCGTCACAAGGTTTCCGTAGGTGAACCTGCGGAAGGATCATCAACGTTTCGATCCGCAATTGAACGCGCTGTGAACTTACAAACCACGAGGGAGGTGAGCGCTCGTTCACTCTTCAATGTTCGGTGGATGGACACATCGATCTCGAAACAGGATGAGTGCTTCATTTCGCCTTCATTTTATACAAAATATACAACTTTTAACAGTGGATCTCTTGGCTTGTGCATCGATGAAGAATGCAGCCGGCTGCGATACGTAGTGTGAATTGCAGAATTCAGTGAATCATCGAATCTTTGAACGCAAATGGTGAATCATTGAATCTTTGAACGCAAATCTTTGAACGCTTGCGATGTGCTGAGACCGATAGCGAACAAGTACCGTGAGGGAGAGACGAAAAGGACTTTGAAAAGAGAGTTAAAAAGTATGTGAAACCGTTGAAACGGAAGCGAATTGAGTTAGCAATTCGCCCCTGCAAATTGAGTTAGCAATTCAGTCGCTCACGCATCACGACGGTCGCGGTCTCGATCCCGCATGGACGAGGCGCGCTTGGACACGGTGCACAGACGACGCACTTCTGGCGAGCGAGCGTCAACGTTGGTTGTCAATGGGCGATAAGGTCGGGTAAACGGCGGGAGTAACTATGACTGTCCTATGGTAGCTAAATGCCTCGTCATCTAATTAGTGATGCGCATGAATGGAATTAACGAGATTCATACTGTCCTAATCTACTATCTAGCGAAACCACAGCCAAGGGAACAAGCTTGGCAGCAACAGCGGGGAACGAAGACCCTGTTTAGCTTGACTCTAGTCTGACTCTGTGAAAAAACATGGGAGGTGTAGAATAAGTGGGAGGAGCAATCCGCTGGTGAAATACCACTACTCTTATCATTTTTTACTTATTCGGTGAAGCGGAGCTGGACCTCAATGTCCACTTTTTAGCATTAAGATCGCTCTTCGGCCGGTCGATCCGAGCCAAAGAGGCTTAAGCTAGGGGTGTCATCTTCATATAATTAATTCACCTATTGAGCCGATAAGCTCTTGATGTCGAGAAACTAGTATTGTTTCGAAATATCAAAAACCCGTGTTGGCCATGTAGCTCAGTTAATAGAGCATCGGTCTAGTATACAGAAGGCCGCGGGTTCGAATCCTGCCGTGGTCAAGTAGAGTTTTCTGCTTGCTATGGCAGGCAGCCACTCGGTGTCATATCCTACTAAAAATCAGGTCCACTGTTTTTAGAAAAGACAAATGAGTATTTTTTTGCACCTGCATCGAGACAGCACAGCATATGTCTCTTCATGCATAGTTGTTGTTATAAGTCTATACTGAATTCTTCAAATTTTCTTTTTTTAGGCATATCAATCGTGTAAATAGTGAGTACTTGAAAACCAATATCACAAACAAGCTTATTAGTGATTTTGTCAAAAAATGTCGGGTTTTTTCCTAACAACATAAATTGTTCATTGTTAACCTAAAAAGGCGATTCATCAATTTTATTAAATGTGCAATCATGCACCAAAAGGGAACTTCTTCACACAACATAACACAAAGATTAACAAGATTAACATGTCAATCCAATTACCAGTACTTAATATCTCCATCTTTGTGTATTATCTATTTTTATGCTACCCTTAACACAACATTTAAAATATAAATCATATGCCGTCCAAAAGGATGTTTGTTTAAGATGGCTCCCTACAATTTTTTAAAATATTGAAAACTTGTGGTTTTGATTTAAAATGTTAGCACGAGATTTTTTGTTAACGAAAAGAAATTTTTTCAGATATATTAACCAACATTCTAACGGACAGAAATTGCCCATAAGCATGATGTCATTACCGTTGTTATGGTAACAATGACGATTCAATATGGCCAACATTTTACCTATTCACGCATTTTCCTCGAAAACAAGTTCACTGACCCCAATTTTTTTATTTTATAAAAAGTTTTTTATTTTATAAAAAGAAAATTTGAACCAGTTAGAAAAAATCCATAGAGCGAAAATAATTAAAAATTAAAAAACGTGATTTTTTGTCTGTAACACTGTCCAATGTATCACTACTTGGTACATAGCTGCGCCTAGCTTTGTAGCTTTGTTGAAAAAATTTTGTGTTTTGTCATCGGCACCAATGATTGCTTTCAGCATCAATTTCACATCATTGGGTGTGGCAGATCCTGCGTCTTCGCATTTATTGTCCAGCTTCTTCAGAACGTGGATCAGGTCAGACATTTGGCTTTGGAGATCTGTAAATCTTTCACCATTTACGAGTTCTGATTTGGTTTCTGAGCGAATTTGAAGGTTGGACCACACTGTTTGAGCAAATTCACTGACGCCGATTTTTGGTCTCACTAGCCACTCACAATTGACCGGTTTGACCTTGCTGAGAATTTATTCTGTGGGCGCATCAGACACAGGTCCATACAGCCTCAGAAAGGAGAAAGGAAAATGATTAAAAAACCCAACTGCTGACATTTTCTCTGGCGTCTTTGTTTTTTTCTTGTACATCTGAAATAAATTGATTGAAAATTTTAATTAATGTATATTGTACGTGTGGTCAGTTTTTCTACAATAGTTGACCTATCCTTATTACTGGAACAAAAAATTTGGTTTCTAGTTTGTTTAAAAAGAAGATATCATTTAAACGTCTCACTCTCGAGAGTGCAACATATGCTGTGCCAGGAGGTATGTTGTCAATATCAAACCATAACACCACATTAGCCAATGTTTGCCCCTGTGCCTTGCACATGGTGGTAGTATATGCAAGGCAGAAAGGGTAAACAGTTTTTGATGCTTCATGAATTCTGGTTGTTACTGGATATATAGCAACTATTTTGCCAGTGGCTAGCTTTGAGAATATTGTTGCATTCTGAACTGTGTGAACTGTTGCTAATTGCCTGTTCACCACGCCATTAAGTTTGTAACGGTTTTGTGAAATGACAACACGCATGCCGGAATATATTGGCATTGGCGGAAGGTCACAATCTAGTTGAACGATTGCTAGTTCATTACTATTTTTAAATATTGTGTTTGCTATTAATTCATTTACTCTATTAGCTGCCTGTCTTTTAAAGGTAAGAATAGTTGTGTTGTGAGATAAATTGCAAGCATGAACAATGTCATTGTCTCCTTGGCTGATTACACGACCATTTTGTATCTCATTAAGTAATTCTTGACTTGGAACCCATTTCCTTATAGTGTTAAGAAATGATAGGTACTGGTCGTCTCCAACTCGATGTTGACCTTGCAGGTCATAGCGATAGCAATTTCTTAGCAGGTTGTCATTGTCGAATGGTCCACTCAGTTGCATAATTCTACCTTTCTCTCGAGTGAAAGGTTGCTGTTGCCCCGCATCACCAGAAAGTAACAACACGGGGCGAAACAAAAGAACATGGAATGTCTTAAGAATGTGATTAAAAATAACATCAGGTCTCATTGATATTTCATCTATTAATATTAAGTCATACTTCAACAATTCCCAGTTAATTTTTGGAGACACATCGGAATCAACTTGAAAATGGGAAGAAGCATGCACTGTGTCACAAACGACGTGTTCTGGCGCATTAACCCTGAAGACTGATGCCAGAAAACCAGTTGGAGCTGCTATGAGTATTAGGGCATATTGGCAACTTACACAATGGACAATTGATCTAATAGTATGTGATTTTCCACATCCGGGTTTACCAGTGAGAATAGGTTTGTTCCACACATTTGCTGTTGGCTCACCCTGGTTAATGTTTCCAAATTCTAGTAACTGTTGCTCACAATCTAAATTAGATTCTGAGTCAGAGGAAGAAACAGGTTCACTGTTACTGGAAGCGACAAATGACGATTATTTTCTTGCACATTCATCGAGAGATCTCAGCACATGTCTCTGCATGCATAGTTGCTGTGGGTCTAAAATGAATTCCTCAGGTTTTCCCTCATTAGGCATATCAATGGTCTCAATGGTAAGTACTTGCATTTGCTACAGAAAAAGCATGTCTTCTAACGTACTATTATAAGCTAATGCAGTTGGAATGAACGCTTCACAATTTCCTTGGTCGTGTAAAAATGAACTAATTGCATCCTTGTTTTGCCAAAAAGCGCCACCATGTTGGACAGCTGCTGCATACCACTGTAGTTTTAAAGGTATATTGTCATGATTTGGGTGCCTTAGTTGGGAAGTTCGCATGTGTGCAAGATGCAATATAAGATATTGGAAAAAATAATCTTTTTTGAAGAAAGACACCAATTTCAAACCTACTAACATTGTCCCACCTTTATAAAGCTTAGGAACTGCTTTTTGAGTGTCAAGCATACGCAACCAGTCCAACAAGGTGTAATTGGACAACATAGACAGACGGTTTCTATACTTCTCCGCTGTCTTTTGGTCAGCTGCACTCTCAGGAAGAGGGACAGTGTAGCATTTTGTTCTGCTAGAGGACCATGCAATTTTGGTTGATGAAAGTGCTAACCACATCTCAGGTTCAGCTGGTTTCATGTCCATTACATATCTAATTGCTGCCTGCCCACCAGAGATATTGTAGGCATAAAGAGCATCTGTGCCAATGCCATCTTGCCACTTTGTGACATAAGACGACACATAGCTCAACAACATTGCTCTCCCATCAGTGGTTTGAAAATCCATTGAACACTGCAATGCTGGCAGTAATGTAGCTATATAAGCAGGTTAAGAGCATATGCTTCAGCTAGGTGTTTTAGGTGCAATAGCTGTTTGCCATCCTTTTGTTCAACAAAAGAATTTTCAGTTTGAAATTGCAAGGACGAAGATGGTTTATCAGATGGCTGATACTTAGTTGCTAGATACGATAACTCAGGCTGATCATTAGGGATATCTGCTCGAATATGTTGAAATTCTGTTTTTGAAATGTCTTCTAACAAAACTAATAAATGCAAGTGGACAGTACCCCGTTTTTGAAACTCAAATCTGTAGAAATATGTTCTTACCTTTTTTTTCGACCTGATGCGATTATAATTGAATGGATGATTTGACCACTTTTGGCTATTGCTGCCACACAAGTAATCTCTAACTATCTGAGCGAAGATGTGGACGATGTGAGCAGTTTCATATCCTGCAAGATGAGTAGGACCTTTGCCTGTTTTTAATCTAACATCTTCGATCCATGTTGAAAATGGAAAAGACCATTCATATGGGCTAAGTGTAATGAAAACATCAGGTAACTCAAACTGGTCGACAGCATCTAACAAAAATCGATGTTGCCACTGCCAAAAGGTGGCCGAAAAAAACTTTGTCTCAAGTGCACGAGCAGGTGAACAGTTTAAACGCCTGGCAGTATTTATAGCGCCACTAACAATCTTATACATCCAGCGATCATACTGAAATTGTA